CACACACACAATTCTATCGATTACTTGTTGTGTGTGTGTGCGTGTGCGTGTGAATGTATTTATGTGACTACTAATGTAATTAATCCGATTTGTTGAATGTGACAGTAGGTAGTTTGAAGGAGGTATGGGGATTCTGTAGACTGTATGTATTATTGTTACACATACTTGAGTTTAAGGTGAAGTAACAATTTGGAAGAGATCGATGGCTGTTTCAGAGAACTCTGTGATTCGAATTATTGCTAGTGAAGTGTTAAACTTCGTTCACAAATATTTGAGGATCAAATGGTAAACGATACAAACAGCTTGATATGTATGGTATTCAGGTGAATTACTTGTCAAGTAATGTATCTGGTGATCAATCGATTTGTATTGAGAACTTATCATCAACTTCATGTTTTATGACGACATCTTCGATAAACGCAGTGTTCTTATGATCAACATTCTTGATTATGTTCTAATTTATCAATAGCTAACAATTATTTGTTTGGCTAGCAGCAAAATAAATGACGAGTGTTTCATTCTGTTTGGAACTCATATTTAGCTAGATGTACCTGTACCCCAGAACTGATGTTCATTGTGAGACTCGAACCATTTACTATTTGCTTTGAACACCACAAAATTCTCAGCTTAGCTACTGAGCTGATGACTCTTAAATCAGACAAAACGTGTTTCTTGGGTTCTACTACTAACCACATTCTATCTATTCTACATGAACTTGTGTCATAAGTGCTTATTTGGACTATTGAGTGCATCAAGTTACTCAATCTGCCACTGGTTTTCATTATCCTCAATAAAAGGTAGAATATATTACTTAGCATAAATCATTCGTGTGATACGGATTAATGAGACTCAACAGCTTTTCATAGTAACATTTTAGAAGTATTTCAGAGAAAATCGATATACTCTGTCAAAATGGTGCTGAACCTTGATGCGAAGTTATTTATTGCAGCTTATTCAGTAGTACACCATGAGTAATGAATAGGTAATACATTAATGTAAGCTTCTATAAAACATATCTAGTAGACATATCTATATTATTGTTATATCTCGATGAGAATAATGACTGGTAACTGTTGGGATTGATTTCTGGACTGATATTACACATATATATTCTTATTGTATAACTATTGAGTAACTTAACTATTCGTATTCGTGTTCCTTTTATCATGAGCTTTATCTTGATTTATAAACTTTTATTATACGATTTATCATTCTTGAATTATGCCCTGTCTATTGATTACTGTCCCAATCATTCACAGCCACATTTGGCTAGATCTTGTACAAATGTTGTTTCCTATTTTATGGTGTGATGTGGTCTGTCTGGTTGGTATATAAACCGAGTATGTTTGAAATGCATGATTCATATCACAGAGGCTGAGATTGGTGTTCTGGACTCAACTGACTGGACCAGGCGGAAAGCTGGACCAATCAGGACTCGAGGCTACTCGCACGTCTTTTATGCGACACTGGTTCGACCGATAATTCGTTGCTCCCTAATTGGCAGTATCGTTGCTTACTTACTTACGTACTTACGTCTGTTACTTTTCGTGGAGGAGCACAGGCCGCTCAGCAGCATTCTCTACCCAATCCTGTCTTGAGCAATCCTTTCCAGTCCTTTACAGCTCCTGTTCATCCTTTTCATATCTGATTCTATTTTCCGACGTAATTTCTTCTTTAACCTTCCTCTTTTTCGCTTCCCTTCAGGATTCAAAGTGCGCGCTTGTCTCGTGGTGCAGTTTGATGATTTGCGTAATGCATGTCCTATCCATTTCCATCGTCTTTTCCTAATTTCCTCTTCCCCTGGAAGCTGGTTTGTTCTCCCCTACAGAATTGCGTTGCTGATGGTATCCGGCCAATGGACGTTGAGCATCTTGTGTAGACAGCTATTTATAAATACTTACTTACTTATTTACGCCAGTACCGTTGCGTTATACAATAAACAGGGCACACAGGTTCACAAGTTATAACAAATTTATTCAGTGATACTTCTTGTTTGTTTATGAACTGCACAAAAAGAAAAGTGTTATTCAGATGTTGACTAATTTAAGATGAACAGTTAAATTCCAATTATTGTTTACTCAAACTGTTTTGCTTAGCTTCAAATAGATGTGCTATAATCAAGTGCGATCGGTGTTAATTATCCTTTTCCAAAGATGGTCGAACTCTACTAATCATATTTCTTTTTATTAATGAAAACATAGTTGTTATTACAATGTGAGAATCATGTAAGGATGACTTATTGTAAACTAAAAAAAAACTATCCAATGATAGGTCCCAGCGTCTGAATCCCCCCGGGGGGGGACGGGGATGCACACTGCTGAAGAGTTCCACAATAGAACGAAACGGCCGTCCAATACTTCCAGGTTTTCTATGGTGGTCTACCTTCAATTAACTTATGATCTCAACAATTGAAATTACTAGAATCTCTACGAAAAACCGTTCTGAAATGAAATAATACTCATCGAATAGTTACATAGATACGTAGTAATTATATAATGACATATTGATTTTAAATTGGAAGAAACCGGAAGGAGATGAAAAGAAAGACCGGGGGATCTACCGTTCCAAAGAAAGTATTGTTCTTAAAATTACAATTCCTAAATGATACTACTGGAGAAATTGTGATTCAGAGGTTAAGAAAGGCAGCATTACAAAAAACATTTAATGCAGCCAGACTAAGTGCTATCTTCTACAACCACCCCATAATAAGAACTGCTAATAAAGACAGATTGTTTGAATTCGCCACATCCATGTGTATTTACCAAGTCAACTACTCCTGCGGAGCCAGTTATATAGGATGTGCAAATTCGTCATTGTATGACAGAACACTATCTGTCATGGTTGAGCAAAGGACATGTAAGACCGATTAAAAAATCTATTCTTGCTCACTTGATGAACACAGGTCATGAAGTTGAACTGAATAAAGCTTTTAAGCTTATCCACCATATTCAATTAAATTTACCACATGGTTTACAAGTGCGTCTTTTGCACATATACATATACATATTCTCAACATTCATCTCTTGGTTCTTACATAACTACTATACTACTGACCATTCATCAAAACATTATCTTATTAGTTCCTTCTCCTCTTTTTATATAATATGCAACGTAGCAACTACGGGATTTTCGAATGATTACCTTCGTTATTATTAATCCTCTTTCCTCCATTTACTTAATGTTAATTTATAATCGATATGTCATTATATTACTGTTACGTATGTATGTATCTACTCGATGAGTACAATTTCATTTCAGAAGGGTTTCTATGGATATTATGGCAATTTCAATGGTTGAGATCATGCGTCAATTGATGCTTGACCACCATAGAAAACCTGGGGTTATTGGACAGCCGTTTCGTGCTACTGTGGGACTCGTCAACAATGTGCATCCATAGTTGTCCAGCTTTAATTGACATATGAATTGATCTATAAAATAAATATGTTGTTTTTTTAATATCTCAATGAATAGAAAAATTGTGACTTAATGTAAGCTACTTCTGTGTTAGTAGAGAAGTTCTGATGTGTTGCATGCTTGTTTCCATACTGTGTTTACTCAATGAAACCTGGTTTTATTAGGTCCTGTTACTTACTTACTTACGCTTGTTACTCTTCGTAGAAGAGCATAGGCTGCCCATCAGCACTCTCCATCCAACCGTGACCTCGGCAATCCTTTCCAGCTCTTTACAGTTCCTGTTCATCCTTTTCATATCTGCTTCCATTTTTTGACGTGGTGTGTTCTTTAACCTTCCTCTTTTCCACCTACCTCCAGGATTCCAAGTTAGGGCTTGCCTCATGATTTCCTTAATGTATGTCTTATCCACTTCCAATCTCGTTTCCTAAATTCTTCTGTAGTTTCCAGCTGTGCTCAATCACAAATGCTAGAGTTTGGCAAAATATATTGGATGCAACATTCAGAAAATGAATATCAGTGTGATCAGTAAAAGATGACCTGTCTTCTAAGTTCTGTGATTTTAATCAAACTTCAATAATATTTAGAGAATTATATAAAAGAGGTATATGTTTTAATAAATTAAACTCAGTAATCATAGATGATATTTTGATACTATAATTAGAATTAATCATTTCGATGATTTTCCATTTCACAGTCGACGTTCTCATTGTAGATGTTAGCTGGTTTTACTATTCAAATTATTATCGATGAAATCAATCTATTCACTGGATTTGAATAATTGACATCCATTCTAAGTACAAAGTTATTTAACTATAAATCAATATAATGAAACTATCAATAGTTATAATGTAATGGTATTTGACAAGAACAATACTGGGTCCGAATCCCACAGTGAATAGCAACCCTGGGGTACAAGTATATTCATCTGAGGAATGTCATACTAACACAAAAAACGGCCATGTAATGCTTCTAGTTTTTCAATGATGGTGTAACATTAATCTATTCATGAACTCAATTAAAACTCAACAATCTCCACAACCCTATACTGATAAACAAGTATGAAAGTACAGGATTACATGTACATTATTCTTTATTTTATGAAGGCTAATTTAACATGTGGTGTTTACACATTAAGTAACTGAATAGTACATTAATACTGTACGTTTGAATAGAGTACTCATTTGATTATTGTTGAATAAAAAAAGGTTCATTTTAGGGGTTTATGAGAAAAACAGAATCAGCCAGTGTGTGTGTGTGTGTCGGTGTGTGTACGGACTAATTAGTACTTGGATGGATCATAATGAATGTACTGATCATATGTTCTTTGTTTAAAAAGTGTACAATCATGTATACTGTATGAATAATGTCCATATATGTGCGAGATTTTGTAAATGGAATGACCTAAGAAAATAAATTTACTTTCATTAAAAGGAAATAACACATATTTTAGATGAGAAAAATTTAATGTTAAAACAATACACTAACGTGTGTATGAATTTCCACAAAATGCTATTAAAAAGTTTATCATCAACAAATCTAAATGCAATAAAATGGAATTAATGTACATTATTAAATCAAATGTACTTTTAATTCATCATCATCATCATCATCATCATCATCATCATCATCATCATCATCATCATCATCATCATCATCATCATCATCATCATCATCATCATCATCATCATCATCATCATCATCATCATCATCATCATCATCATCATCATCATCATCATCATCATCATCATCATCATCATCATCATCATCATCATCATCATCATCATCATCATCATCATCATCATCATCATCATCATCATCATCATCATCATCATCATCATCATCATCATCATCATCATCATCATCATCATCATCATCATCATCATCATCATCATCATCATCATCATCATCATCATCATCATCATCATCATCATCATCATCATCATCATCATCATCATCATCATCATCATCATCATCATCATCATCATCATCATCATCATCATCATCATCATCATCATCATCATCATCATCATCATCATCATCATCATCATCATCATCATCATCATCATCATCATCATCATCATCATCATCATCATCATCATCATCATCATCATCATCATCATCATCATCATCATCATCATCATCATCATCATCATCATCATCATCATCATCATCATCATCATCATCATCATCATCATCATCATCTGAAGCGGACTTTACTGGCTTCGAGTCCTGAAGTATATATGGAGTCCGATGCAATTGGGTCTATCTGACTAGTTCGAAATAGGATGGAACCTGAATTCTGATAGCCACCATCCATCTTTGTTTATAACAGTGACTTAGTTGTTTTTCATCAAGAAGATTTCTTCTCAACCTAACTATAAATGTTGAGATCATTTTTTTACATTCTTACCAACATATTCTAGCTGAAGTGAAATATTAAGTACAGGTGATCATACCACGTTGAAAACACCGGTTCTCATCCGTTCGGCATATATTAAGTATTCGAAATACCGATATGTGGTGTAACAGTTCGATCCTTTGTTGGACACGAATTTTTCATTTATAAGTATATTTAGACTTGTTTAACTAAATTCTAGAATACATAGATATAACTATACCGGTTTGAATACTCTATCTGATTGCTAGTAATACCACATAAACAGATCAGCACTTAACTGATATGAATTTGTTAATTAGCATTTCTCTAAATACCGTTAACTAGTGTATTGATTGTCTAGGTATCTTACTACAAAAAACGATATAAATTCATTGTAAATTGTATCTTCTGTTTTACAACTACTGTATATATATATAATTAAGGCCCCAAATACCATGGTACGACCGAGAGTGGGGAGAGTCAGTTCTCCATCTCCAAATGCTCTCACGTGGCCACGTGCATACAGCCACTACTACAGAAGTCCTATTCACTGACTTCCCACACCACGTGTGTTGTTTACGTAATTGAGAGGAGGAAAAGCGAATGTCTGGCGCTTAATGCGGGTTGATGGATACGGAGGATCCACTGAGGGGAGTTGGAAAATCCACATTCCAAGTCAATGGTGTACACAGGTTCCAGGATCATAAGGAAACAAATAGCATATGAAGCAATTGCTGGTCACCGACTACCATGAGACTGCATCTTTTTACGCTGCTCCACCATATTGTGGACTAGACCTTTCAGTCAAAGCTCCACAACCAAACCATCCAGCTCAGAGAACAAAAATTCCATCAAAATCTTTATCGTTTTCTTCCTTCCTGTACTATATCCTTATATGCAACCTTTTTTTTATACATTAACACCATTAAATTAACTACTATGAATTCAGTGTTTATCCTGCTATAATAATGAGGTGTGGCAACTTGGACCGATGCATATATGTGCCTGGTCCTACGTTGTAGCTGACTAACTGACTTCATGCATTTATGTATACATTACTATTTTCTAATAATGTTGCTGTATTATTGGTAACAATGAATCTTATATTATTGATCGAGTTTGAGTCATAGTAACTGAGATAACTGCACAATAGTCATGATATCTATATACTGTTTTCGTCTTCTGATTGGACACTGAATTGGAAGAAATTTGATAGTCAACAGTAATCAAGGTCTCTTTCATGTTTCATTGATCACTGGTCGTTTCACGTGTAGACATAGTGAGGATTAATCAATCGGGGGATACAATAACTTTCTACTCCTATAATTTGTAATCCTTTCACATAGAAGTCCGCTTTTTATGAATATGTAACAACAATAATTTCACAACAATGTTGTCAGATCATATTAGAACAAATCATAGAGAAATACATAGAGTTATTGATTTACTAAATGCATTTTCCAAAGTTACATCTCTATCAAAGATGAGAAGAATAAGTATTTTTGTTTTTACAATTAATTGATCACTGGGTATGTGATCAATGTCGTGTATGTCAGGTCCTTCTTAGTGCAGATTGAATTCTATCGATCAAGTTACAATGTGGTAAATGGTTTAGATGACTCGACATTGTGTGAACTATGTTGAGATGAGATGGTGGTTGGAGTTAGTCACCAGGGTTTTCTGTTGATTACTTCCAACGACCATCGTATAGGTTTTTTTTCCACTTCATGTTAAACTGGATAGAAATTGTGTTACTTAGTTTAATTAAAAAAGTAATGAACCTCTATATAAATAAAAAAGAACCAAATATGAATTTTTGTATTGTTCATTCTAACACACCTAGAAAATATTCGAATACACTTTCCAAAGTCCTGAAGTATTGAACAAATGTAATACGACAACTGTAAGCTACTGATAAATTTACAAGTAGTATAACGATTGACAAAAAATTAGTGAGCATAATGTGAAAGTGTGAAGATAATATATTGTTGGTGGAGCTGGATGGTTTGGTCGTGGAGCTTTCGTCGTTCTTCTCAACGACATCATCGGCACAAACTTCAGATAGAAGTGAAGTGTTCGAATTTCTCCATATGCGTTTCACAGCTTGTTCTGTGCACCTCGATGTTGATTGGTTCTTATTGACCTTAAATTTGTCATTGTTTGCCTCTTTGTTTTGGTTGTGTCTCCCATTAGTTTGATTTTTGTTCCTATGTTTGCGCATAATTTTCCTGATTGGTTGGTAAATTGGATTGATTTCAATATGCTTGTTGATTGCTGATTGACCTGAGTACCAGGCTTCTAAAAATTCTCTAGTGTTTTTGGAATAATGACAAATTTAAGGTCAATAAGAACCAATCAACATCGAGGTGCACAGAACAAGCTGTGAAATACATATGGAGAAATTCGAACACTTCACTTCTATCTGAAGTTTGTGCTGATGATGTCTTTGAGAAGAACGATGAAAGCTCGACGATCAAACCATCCAGCTCAGAGAACAAAACTCCATCAAAATCATCCACTTGAGCTACAAATCTTCTTCACCATCTCGATAATATAGTCTTAGTAAAATATATTTTTCTTCTATTTCATACATGAAGCTTTTTAATTGTAAACCATCCGTTCAGAGATTAGGATTATGTACAGGAGTGAACTGACAGACTTTCCCAATTATCTGTAGGCTTTTGAAAGTGAGATTAAAATCATAAATTTCCAAATGATCAATAATACGCATTGTGTTGATATTTTGAAATCGTTGAGAAAGATTTATGAGAATCTGAAAAAAACCCTCGTAGAAATCCCTAAAAGGGCCATGAAAACTCTGGGAAACATTCTATCAAATCAGCATTGAATAAAAGTGTTATAACTTGTGGCCTTGTGCCCTATTAATATATAACGTAATGATAATGTCAATTAGAGAACAGTAAATTATCGACCGGATCAATGACCCATAAAACCCGTACAAGCAGTCTAGAGTCCTTATCGGTCTTTCTTCCTACCTAGCCCTGCCTGTTAAGTCTAAAACGTGAATCTCAGCCTCGACGATTTGGATCATGTATTTCGGGCATACTGCGTTTTTATACAGATCAAACAGACCACATCACACGATGAAATAGGAAATACACATTTGTACAAGATCTAGCCAAAAGTGGCCGTGAATGTAGGAGACTGTAATTAATAGACTGGGCATACGTCATACTTCTGATTGGATGATTACCTATTCTGCTACTATGTTTAGTAGGGTTATGGAACCATCCTGAAGCTCAAAATTTTCTCTACATACACTAATCTCGGAGAAAAGTGTTCTTTCCATATTTCACGCATTTTCTCTCGTAATAAATTTGCTATGTAGAGTGAGTTTTTGTCCAACATTGAGTAATGGCCGAGAATTCCCGTGGTCAGAGAGTGTTAAAGAGTTAGAAGCGACAGCTGAACCTGGCGATTGTCAGAAGGTCTTTCAACTCTAAGCCAATCATAACATGAGTCTTGTATGAGTGGACGATTCTGTGAAGCTTTTGGCACTCCAAACACTAACATCCGCCGTAGTTTTGTAAAATGGGCGGTTTTGTGGAGAAACAGTTCAACTGATATACTATCCCACCAACATCTATCAGATTATGTTATCCTCCATAGTCAGTGGCGACTGATTCCCACGGACGTCCAACTCGTAAGAAGCGATAAACCCACAGGCCTAGGTGACTTTCTCCTTGGCCATTTTAAGAATGGTGAATAACTTCTGACCAGGGAAACAACCGAGTTGTTTGCAGACGTTTGTCAATTAGCGACTGTTCCAAAGCCTTGTTATGAGATTACATTCGTCACTATCTTTGGAAACGGTCTACGTCACCTATGCCACAACTATAGGAAGATAAGTCTGCTTCAGATCGCGTTCAAATTATTGACCATATCTACACCCTTTGTATAATATTAGAACACCTTCGTTGTTATTACAGACCAACGAACGTTGTGTTTCTTGATGTCAAGGCTGCCACCGATTCCTTAGACAGGACTTCTCTCTGGGTATGCCTGAGGGGTTTAATAACATATTGAAGTTTCTGTATCAAAATACGATGTTAGCAATGTCGAGGTTCACTAACGTATGTCTGAGCATAGTGACGATAAATCAAGTCGTGTTATCATTTAAAAACACTGGCTTCATTAAATGGAACATGTACGTCAAATGTTACAACGAATTTCATATTTTCCCGGCACTGTGATTGATTGAAAAAAGGAGAGTGTTGGTCAGTGTAGGATATAGTGTCGTGCTTTGAAAGAAGGTTGTATAGGACTGTTATTTGTCGGCAATTTACGATTCCCCGGTTGGAGTGCTAGAAACAGTGCAAAACAATGACTTGAGATGTTATTGGATATGTCTCAGAATAAAAACCACTTGCACTCCTACTGCAGTTTTCATTACTTTCATTGTGGAAGTGGAAGAAACTTCTTTAACTGAAAGGATTCATTTAGGTAGTAACGAAACTGCTCTCATTGATTTATGTATTTATTTTGGTGTCCTTTTGTACCAATTTCCATGTATTTAAGTAAATAAATTCACGATTTGTGATGTTTTCTTAACTAATTATTAAGTTGAATTCACGAGTCAATCTAAACAAGACTACCATTGAAAGCCTGGAATCATTGGACAGCTGTTTCGTCCTGGTATAGAAGTCTCCAGATGTGTGAATCCACGATCCTACACGTGTTACTCGAACATAGGATCTTCAGTTTCGAGTGCGAACACTTAACTTCTAGGATGAAACGGTCTTCCAGTGCTTTCATGTTTTTAGGAGGATTAGATGGACTCGTGAATTGAACTGTTAAAAATAT